TTTTTTTATTTAATATTTTGTTTTAGTTAGAAATGAATCAGATTATGGTAAATTCTAATGTAGGCTCATCCTTCATATGTCTCCACAGTTTCAGCGACCCAGTGTTTAAATATAGAATTAAGTACTGAATAATATTAATTAACGACTTACTATAATATTGGGTTAGGTTCAAAATTAGTAAGAAAATGCAACATGTAAAATAAAGACACTGTAAAATAACATGTTACCGAAATCTGTATTCAATAATTTCATGTAATATCAAAAATGTTTATTTTTAAAGTTATCCAAAACAACATGGTGGACATTTTGTGGCACTGTATAGCAAAATTAAAACCTGTTTTGATGGGTATGTGAATTGCTATACTTACAGTATAGAGAAATATGTCTAAATGGTAAGGTCCCATTCGTTAACACTTCACAATAAGATTCCATCAGTTAACATTAGTTAACGCATAAATTAACATTATCTAATAATGAACAAAACATTTGTTACAGTATCTCTTTAAATGTTAGTTACTAAAAATGCAGTTGTTCATTGTTAGTTCATGTTAGCTCAGGCCCATTAAAGGTGGGGTAAGTGATTTCTGGTAGCCAATGTTGACATTTGAAATATACGTACGCAACCCAGGCAACGATTAGTTCTGTGAAACAAAGCAAAACCAATGTTACACCGTGTCTACACCAGACGCGAGTGGCACGGCGCGACAAAATACTATAGAACTCATTATAATTAGTGATGCTGTCTACACCATAGATACACTGGATGCTGCGTGGCACGACACGACACGACAAATCCCCGATGGAAAACTGCTGCTGTGTTCTATTTATGACGTATTGACACAAATTTCAAATGATTTTCAATGGTCGCTTTGTCGTGTCCAGTGTACTAGACAGACTTTAGCTGTTGCGGCGCAGACACGGTGTTACTCACCTATCGAGAAGAAACAAAACAACCTCGCCCCTTACTGCTGATTGGCTACAAGTTTGTTTTGCTACTCGGCCCGAATCAGTTTTCTAAAGCGTTTTTGAAAAATCACTTACCCCACCTTTAAATAATATTAACTGATCCAAATTCAGATTTTAATAATGTGTTAGTAAATGTTGAAATTAACAATACCTACGATTAATAAATGCTTTATAAGTATTTTTCATTTCTAGTTCATTTTAACTTAACTAATGTTAACAAATCAAACCTAAAGTTTTACCAAAGATTCAATGTAATAAATCGGCATGATTAGGCTATACTAAAAGAAATATAATTACACCACTAATGAAATTCGTTAATGCAATTTCCTGTTCTGTCATTCTAATTCAACAACCTGTGGCCATTTCAATTAAAATTCTCATTCATGAAATGAATATTTTGCCCAACCTTTACACGCACACCATAGTAAGAATTTTGATAATACTGATATTACTATGACCCAGGCTTGACTGTATTTTTGCCATAATTGAAGGAATATGAAGAACACAGTAGGGTAAATGTTTTATGCTGTTTTATGCCCTGCAGTTTCCATCTTTGCTCACACCATCACACCCAATTGCCTTGCATTTGGCTAAGCATTAAGCAACATTCAAAATTGAAGTAATTTCCATTATGCACAAAGCACAGCTCCATATGATGTCGACACTCAGTACATCAGGAAGCTGCCTACTACACAGAATATGTTTTAGGGTCTACAGCTATGATTTCAAAAAACTGCTTTCCCCCTCCTCCAGTGTCTTATTTCCACTTGATTGTGTTGAAAGGCACATTACTGTGCAAAATTGCCAGGCATCCATAATGCTCACATTGGCTGCGAGGTGCAGATGAGCATTTAGCGGTGTGCAGTGATGTTTCTGCGTATCTGTCCACATCTCAAGTGTTCCTGTAGTGGGCAGGAATTCCTATGTTTGAATTCTCCCAGGGCTGGACTGTATGAATGCTGTTCCCAGACTCCGCCAAGCATCGCCGACTTCCTTCCCCCTTACGCTTCTCACCGCCGCAGTCCCTCATCCGAGTCTTGAGTCATTTGTTGTGTTGTGAGGAAACTGTTGTGTCAGTTTTGTGACATAATGGTCTTAACCAGGGCATTATGATTTTTTTTTTCTCCGTCCAGATTAACTTTTTCATCTTCATACACATCATCAAGATCCTCGTGTCCAAACTGAGGGCGCACCAAATGAGATATTCTGACTACAAGTTCCGGTGGGTGTCCTACAGTTAAAGGGTTAGTTAATGTCTGGCATCATTCATTCCAAGCCTGAGTTCCTTTTGCTTCATTGGAATGCAAAATAAGAAGTTTTGATGAAGCAATCTAAATGCACAATAAATTCCTGATAAAAGTAGCCCATACGACAGGTATTCTGAAGCCAAACAACAGCTTTAGATGAGGAACATATTGAAAGTTGTTAGTTTGTTATTTGCTGATAATCTCAAATTCCCTTCATTTCAGAGCATTCAAACGTTTTGCATCACAATTGGTTATGAGAGACATGAAAACCAATGGCTTTTGACACCAATGATATAATGCATTAATGCACCCAATCCACCATACTTTAATAATTTGCATGCATTTGTGAAAGAGGTTTGAGACGTGCAGTAAAGTGGACAGATTTTCCTCATATGAAACCTTATACGTACTTATATATGTATAACTATAAATATACATACTTATAGTTATTGTACTTTTAACTATAAGTATAGAATAATATTATATCGAAACTATGAAAAAAGAATGAAAGTCATACAGATTTGAAACAACATGAGGGTGAAAAAATTATGACAGTATTTTAATTTTTGGGTGAACTTTGAGCATTTGCAGAAAGTTGTGCATTTGTTTCCATATTAACTGCCTATCTTTGTATTTTTCTCCCAATTTTAGGCTTGCTAAGTCAACCCTCACCCTGATTCCGTTACTGGGAATCCATTCGGTCCTGTTTTCGTTTGTTACTGATGAGTCTACCTCACATGGTGCTCTATCCCTGCGCCTCACAAAGCTCTTCATCGACCTCTTCTTCAACTCCTTCCAGGTCAGGAAGTCTTAATACACCATCACTCTAAACAGGATTGAGCAAAACTCCGAATTGTAGAATTGTTTTCCTTTCAATTAGTGAAGTTTTAGTGGAATGCTAGGACAAGGAATCTACTGAATTATAGTTCAAATCAGTTCAACACAGTCACACAACAGAGCAATTTCATTGGTCTAAACCATTTTCAGGAATTGAATTGGAATTTAAAGGCACTCTCAAGTGAATTCAGTTTTGAATGCCGCATAACTCTGACCCTCACTCACAAATGGATAACAAGCTCAACATTGCTCAGAACAAGCTCAGGTATAATAACAAATTAAAAATTGTTATGTTCTCGATATGCCACAGAGAAATCACCTCACCTTGCCAAAATCTCCATAAAAGCCCCATATGCTGCAAATTAGCAATGCATTCAAATGTCCCTTGACTGGGCAGCAGCTTAGAAAAAGACAAATTGATATTCTGTAGCTTATTTTACAGTGTCAGGACTAATTGCTTTGAGAGAGCAGACATTACAAATTGGCTGACTCACCCTTTGACAAACTGGTAATGACACTCAAGTGGAGCGCAGCTGCAATGTGTCGAATTTGTATCATCTGCCTGGAGGAATTGCCCTGATGAGACTTTTCACATGCGTAAAGATTCAGAGTAAGGGAGAGAGAGCGAGGCCATAAAGCTTGACTGTTATGTGTCCATCTGTAGACACTTCATCCTTATTGGCTTTTGAACATCTTACTGCAGATTGCACTAAATGAACTCATTCAAAGTGTCAGGTTTAGCTCATTCGCAAAATAGACTGATTATTACTTTTATAGATTTCTGAAAGCACTTTGTTTTTATTTATGTTTGACTATGAACAACCTCAAAACAGAGTTTAGCTGGGCTTTTTGCAGTTAAATCAACTTTTATCCAAAGGAACTTACAGGACAGTCATGACACTTGTGCTCCCTCGGAATCAAACCCACGAACTAGTCGAACAACAGAAATTGTAGGGCATTCATTGCTGAAAAAAACTGCTTGAATTACAGATCCAGTCTGGTTAATGATGGTTAGTGCTGGTTTAAGTTAAAGGTAGGGTCAGAGTTAGGACTATTTGATAGGAATATTACTTTATGATCAATAAAAGATGTTGACCAATGAACAAGACCTTGGTAAATCATGTTGTGTGGTCTGACCTTCTGGTAAAATTAGTTAACCAAGGAAGTCTTGTTGGCAAAGCCAGTTAAAAAGCCTGGTTGAAAAACCAACATCTTGTTGGGACCAGCATCCAAAACACAACATAAACCAGCAATCAGCTATACTGTTGCGTTTCCCAAAAGCGTTGTTAGCCAAATCCATTGTTCCCGAAACCATAGTTCTACGAATAGTTCTGCTTATTCATGCTCTGACATGTTTACAGGGGCTGCTGGTAGCCATCTTATATTGCTTCGTCAACAAGGAGGTAAGTTAGATCCTCTTTTTTTAATATACCCATCCTCACAAATCTGGCTCCATCTTTACAAGTCTGTTCGCTGACCGTTATGTGCATGTTCTTGATTGGTCAGGTTCAGTCTGAGGTTCTGAAGAAATGGAGACGTTGGAAGCTTGGGAGGGACATTGAGGAGGAATACCGTCACACCTACAGCCAGTCCCTTCAGATGAAGAGTGGCATCATCATGGTCCCTCCTTCCAACCTCTTGCGGCTGCCTGATATCGCTACCACTACCTCCCGGCTCGGCAGTCCAGAAGAGAAGCAGATGTTGGTGTCCAACAGCCAGAATGGTATGGGTACTGGATTGCCGTTCACCTCCACACCACAAGATAGTTCCACCTGCAGTTCGATAACAGAGGACATAGTCATGGTGGACAGGGGAAAGTGTTGTAGTGTTCAACAGGACAATGCCAAGAGCAACCTGTGAGCTTAAGGAGCTCCAGATGTCTCACAGAAGAATACTCTTAGCCCGACCACCCTCGCTTCTTCTGGCTAAGGTCCCTGAAACCTTGGCCCTAGCTTGAGCGAGAGGAGTGTTTATGTGTGTTTGTGTTTGTGTGTGAGTTTGTGAGAGCACTGCCCTCTCTGATGGACACATGATGGACACCCGTTCATCACATTACATGGTGCTCAGTTGACACTGTCCCAGTCAGACAAGATCAGCATTGAGCAGAAGGTGGACATACAGTATGTTAAAAAAGATTTGCACAAATGTGCATGCTAACAAACTCAATGATGAAGAACAGAGTCTTACCTCTAGTCTTATATAGCTATCTGTGATGTTGATGATTTAGTAGAGAAAACCCACTGGGACTGCAGGGTCCAAGAGGAACCATCACAAGCAAACATCTACAACCTGCACCTCTGGATGACCGGAAGATTTAGGAAGAGATACACTGAACTGAACTTGTCAAAAACGTAACTAAACCAGGTAATGCATTGCAGAGTGCATGAGCTCTGTTTGAACCGAAGGAACCCCACATGTCTCTGTAGAAAAGACCAACTTGGACCAGAATTTCCATGCAGGTTTATGCTAATGTGGTGCTGATGGATCAGCAGAGCCAAAAATGAGTAAAGCTGATTAGTCAAGAACATTTACTGATTAAGTAAGCGAAGAAGCCTTGTGGTGACACCAGCACACCAGCATTTTTGTTCGCATATATTTTGGAATCAACTGACGCTTTTGGGTACATGTAACATGTACAGATGTTTGTGTGTAATTTAATTAAAACCATCTTTGTCTTTGTTAAAAATTAATTGCCAAGCTACAGTATAGATGTAGACTGATCAAGTATTGACCGGTATTACCCGTGTGCCTTTTTCTGTAGGTCATAGACTCCAATATTAAAACAAAAACACAAAGATTCACGATGCAAAGTAAGTGAAGTACAAATCAGTCACCCAATCTTCAGAGGTGAAAGCTGCTTAAAGCAGATTCTGTATAGTGAACAGGGCATCAGGCACACATTAGATGAATGTGCCACTATTAATAATGACGATTGGTATACTCAAGCATGCAAAATACAGCCACATGTGAAATGCTCCAAAGGGTCTGGGATCAATGCCTTAATGGAGTAGCATGACCGATCTGATTCCCCTGTGTCAGTGGTCAGAAGAGATGACTGTCCACCAGATATGTTGATATGTTCAAGAGTCAGTATTAGTTAGCAACTGCTTCTTCTCTCACATACTTCTCATCTCCTAATAGGCATTCGAATCCTTTGCCATAGAGCTTTGAAAGATGTTCGGGAAGTGTAGGAGGAACTGTGAGGACAAGAGCCAGAAAGCGAAGAGAAAATTTAGAACAAATTACAACCTTCGACATCGATCAAAATGGTTCCACACTCAGAGGATATCCGTCATGCTCAATTCAAGACATGCTATAACAAAAATACGCAACCGAAAGACACTGAAATGAGATTGCGGCAAAGTATAGAGGTGAAGAATTTCTGCGACATTAGTGCCACCAAATCTGTTTGTTTGAGTGGCCCAGCTGAGCCATAACAATAACAAAGAGTTCTGGGCGGGACCATAGGGTTAAGGTTTGTCTGGTTAATATCAGCAGTTAATCCCTGCTGGTAGATTCTGTAACTACACCATTATGGAGGCAAAAAGCATCTTTCCTCACTGACGGCCATTCTGTCGTAGCTGTGTAGATGTCGAGCAACTACATTTAAGTTGAATGAGAATCCTAACAGATGGGATTCCCCAGTTATTGACATGAACTTAGTCTGAACAATTTGAACATAGAGAGTTTGTTTCTAAAATTAATTTTTACAGTTCTGGTTAGTGTCACTAATGATGTATAAATGACATACTTCACCTTTAATGACAATGAGCAGCTGATGCCCCATATTGTGGCATTTGTGTGCATTTATATTTTCTTTAGATCATCAAACATGTGATGATAATGACAATGATTAACGCAGATAACTATGTGGGGCAATTTGCACAATTCTAATTTATAATTGTTAAATATGTAGATATCTGTAAATGCCTGTTGAGATTTGTAATGACTTTGTTTTATGGTGTCTGTTATTTGTGCAAATGGTGTGTATTCTCTGCTTGCTTTGGGGAGAGTGAGAGAAACACGTAGGTCCTGGTTTAGTGTTCAGTTAACTAAGAAGAGAAACTTCTGGCATTTTTGTTTTTTTGCAACACCCAAGACCAATTTTGCCTTTTGAGTGAAACCGGCTGAGATAATTCAGTCCTTCTGTGGTAAAAGTGAGATAGTGGTGGCTAATTTGTAATAACTGCAGGTGAAAGACTTTTTAGCGTGCTAAGCGTCGCAAAATCCAGTTCGACTTTTTTCAAAAAAGAGAAATACTTTATTGCCACAAGGGATCAAAGAACATGAACTTGTTTGTCTGAGGTTGTCTGCCAAAACAAAACATCCTGTTGAATATTTCAAACAGATTTTCCAAAATTGGCATCATGTAATGTTATCCAAGCATGAGAGTAATTGTGAAAGTTGATAAATCATGCATACATGGGTCTGCCTTCTATTTCCATTGTCTCTGTTTCTTGTAGCCAAACTGAAGTGATGCCAAATTCTTCAGTGAGGGAGGCAAAGCGTCTGTTATGCTCATCTCTCTGCATTCAAACTTCAGAACCTCTTGGAATATCTAGGAATGAACTTGCCCAGAGTATCCCTGGAGCCATGCTTTGGAAGCAGGAGAGATGGAAAGCGGAATCTGTGTAACAGAACATGCATTTGACGAATTGAACCCATTATTTTTAAGTATCTGAATGGTAATGATGTTGCATCAAAGTATGATATGTTGAAACAGTCTATAGTTGTTTTGATGTATATATAAGAATAGCTTACTCAAAAATAAAAAATTTGTCCTTCATTTACAGTGTTGTTTAATTTTATATTATTCTTGTGTCAACACAAAATTATAGACCCAAAATTTAAGTCGTTGTGACAATCTTCCCTTTTGCTGTAGCTTTGAGACCTCATTTGCGATTTCCAAACAGTTAATGTTGTATTCGGTCACGTGATGCATGAGAATCAATTATGTCAGTTTGGCATAAAAAAATTGGTTTGAACATTGGTTTGTTCCTCACACAAAGCTATTTTATGACTTCAGAAATCTTGGAATTCAGCTCACAAATTAGACGGACAATTGGTGCTTGGTAGTACATCATCTGCTTTTCTTGTATAGAAAAGAGCAGCTTTGACATTCCAATATCTCATTTGAAATGTCATGAAATGATTTGACAATGTTTAATTTTGAGTGAACTGTTCCTTTAAATTAAATTTGCTGGCAAAAATTCCAAAACATGCCACTATATCAAATAATTTTCCCGCGCAATCCTTGCAAAAATGTCATAAAAGATCTTGTTTGCCTCTGAAATACTTTTTTCTTTGACTGCAGTGTATTTTTTTTTTCTTTTTAATTTATCACAGTGTTGGTGTTTCATAGTACACCTCAGCCACATTGCAAATGACTGATGCAAAATAATAAATTTAGAACACTCCCATTATATTCAAAGACAATGTCTACACTATAAACAAACAGTGTGGAAGCTTTGCTAGTTGTAATGGGTACATTCTAGTTTTTTGTTGTGTAGCTCGCTTGCTATGTTGATGGGTTAATAGGAATGGTTGGCCAGAAATGGAGCCAGACATGACAGAGAAGGCCTGCCATGCTGTAGATTAAAATATGTGCTTGTGTAATGTTTTTTTGATTCATTATGATATCAAGATGGTGAATAAATTGAAGTAAAAAAAAAATTGCATGGTTTGTCTTTCACTATTGATATGAATTTGTACAATGCCATTCAAGTGTTTTCGTACGGTCTGTTTACACTTCACTGATGGTTAGTATAGGGGTGGACCTTCATGCTTTTTTCTAGTTTCTTTGTACAAATTCATACAAAATCATAATACCTTGTAAAATAGTTACATTTTCTCATGAGATCAGGTTGGTTTATACTGTGAATTTTGGCTTAAAGCCTTGACTAGATGTTTAAAACTGTTTGAAGATTGGTTCAAAGGTTACATTAGCTTAATCTATACTTGTACTATATACTTTTGACATTTTGGCGAGTTAGTGGCTATAATTTGTATTAATTTGTGCATTTTTGTGCAATACGTTCCACGGATGGTTAGATTTATGGGTTGGACTTTTATGCTATTGTGAATCACATCATATATTCATCCGAAATCACATAAACCCTCGTAAAAAATACTTCTGTTCTCATGAGATTGGCTTGGTGAATTTTGGCTTAACAAGCCTTCCCTAGATGTTAAAACTGTTTGAAGTTTAGTTCGAAGGTTACATACCTAAACTTAACAACTACCTTACTAACTATTAATAAACAGCTAATTAGGAGTTTATTGAGGCAAAATTCGTGGTTAATAGTGAGAATTGGACCTTAAAATAAAGTGTGACCATATGAGAACACTTTAGATTAGGGAACACTATTAACTAGTTGCTCATTAGGATGCATATTACATATTAGCTGTTTATCAATACATTTAAAGGGGTGGTTCAGTGTTTTTTTTCTAAGCTTGATTGTGTTTATGAGGTGCGGTCTAACATGTGTTAATGCTTTGTTTTTTAAAAAACGGGAACAGTATTAAGAACCGCTGCTTTAGAACATTGATTTTGAAACTTGTGAATCCATTAGAATCGTTAGAAGACAGAATCGCGATTCATATATGAATAGATTTTTTTTACGTGCACCTCTAGTTTTCTCTTCCTCTTCTCTAAAGCAGCGCAGCATGGCCTCGCCCCCTTTGCTGCCTTTTCCCGAGGGCGGGGTTTATCTGGGTTTGTGATGTCACGAACCCGGGAAGTAACTTGTTGTAGTCCCTACCAGCCGTTTTTGTAGGCATTAAACTGCCAGAATTTTAAAAAACGATATCTCCGTTTGCATTGAACTTTCAGCTTCGTAACTTTGCAGATATTGTTTATGCTCAAACAGCAACATTACGCATGAACTAACATTAAAAAAAGTGAAATCGCAATGAACCACCCCTTTAAAGCACATATTAATGCATGACCATATTCTAGATCCCTTAACTCTGCCCAATACCTAAAAATAACGGCTACAACAACTACTTACTATCAATAAGCAGCAAATTAGAAGTTTGTTGAGGGAAAACTCTTAGTTAATATATAGTTATAAAATCTAGTCCACCATGTTCTAATATTAGAATGATTTTCTAATCAGTTTATTTATATCAATCCTCTTTAAGTTTGTAGGCCAAGCTTATGTCCTGCCTTTAACTAAACAAATCTTTGTTTAAAGATTTGTTGATTTCCCCCGTTAAAGATTGTTGTGCAGGGGAAAGACAGTGTGGAAAAACAGATGTGTAGAGGTGTTGATGCTCTGGGGAACTACTGTTGTGCTTGTGTGAGACTGATGCTTGAATAAGACCTGATAAGGGCATTGTTATCACATGCTGCTTTAAATGCTAGCATGAATCATCATTTATCATATCACCACACTGGTCTGCCTCACAGTGTGATTTATGATTCACTTTTAGAGCCTAACAATGCCAATGAAATGCCTGAAATACACAGTCATCTTGTGTGGTGTGGTTGGGCAGATCTTCGTTCATAACTGTCTAGTTAGTACTCTTTGCTGTGTTTTCAAACCACACTGTTTGTTTGCTTCTATCCTGGCAACTGCACTGCTACTGAAGAGTGCTGTAATCCAAATGAGGTGGTCAATTATCAACCCCTCCTGTCCACTGGGCCCTACATCATTTCCACACCATTCATCATGCACTACTAGTGTTTGTGGACAGATGGCACTTGGAACAGAATTGCTGTTGCTTATGTGAACTGTATGCCTATGAATGCTTTAGTGCCACGTGTCGCAAATGTGTTCAAATATCATTACATTCATAACAGACTAATCACACCACCGTAGTAAAAAAAAAAAATGAGGAAAGCATCTTGTGTGGTATGTAAGAACATTAATAGGGGTCATGACATGGCTTTTTAAGTATTTGAATATGTCCTTTTCGGTTTACTTCTGATTCTATTAAAGTTTTTTGGTAACACTTTAGTTTGGGGACCAATTCTCACTATTAACTAGTTGCATATTAGCATGCATATTACTTGCATATCAGCTGTTTATTAGTACTTATGAAGTACATATTAATGCCTTATTCTGCATGACCATATTTTAAATCCCTTAATCCTACTCCATACATAAACGTAACATCTATCTTAATAATGAATTATTATTAATTATTAATAAGCAGCACACTAGGAGTTTATTGAGGCAAAAGTTATAGTTAATAGTTAGTTAATAGTGAGAATTGGTCCCCAAACTAAAGTGTGATTTTTTTTTTCTGTGCCAAAACGTATTGTAGGATCATTTGAAAAATGTGTCTCTATCTACATGTTTGCAAAACTTTAAAAAAAAAAACGTACCTATATATACAATTCACTGTAGTTACCCACTGACATGAACACTAGTGTCATTAAAACACCAACAACTTTTATCCCTTTATACGCAAATTATGATTACGGGTACAGATTATCAATTAACAAAGACTTATTTTCTCATGGTTGCTTGCACAATACTGTTATGCCCTCAAAACACTTTTACTATAGTGCATGATTTGTCAATTAAAACATTTAGACATTTGCATCACATAACCAGCTCCATATGCATGGCTTTTCTAAAATAGTCAACTTGCTCAGTAGCTCACCTGGTACAGCATATCGCTGGGTATAAATTGTGAAACATGAGTCAAGATAAAAGAGCTCAAGACTTGTAGAAGCAAGCTAAAATGCCATAGTTGCTTCAGCAAATGTGTTTTTATCTCACATTTTCTTTCTTTAACACTATCAGTTGGGTTTAGTGTAGGTGGTTCATTATTTTCGAACATGCAAGATCCTTTTAGCGCCACTTATCGGACATTTCATTCTTGAACTGCGGCAATACAAACAACAACCAACTTAATAAAACTCTTCCAGGTTTGCATTCATCTGATTCGGATAAACTAAGCATACTTTTGAATGTGCCACAAAATGTGCAAGAACCAACGTAATATAATTTGGAAGAAATGTTGCAACAGGCACATTTTTTTCAATGAGCCTGGGATGCAAAAAACACAATCACATATTTAGAAAATATTATTTTCCACTCCCATTATCACCCTCAGTCATAAATGATCAGCTTTGGTGTTCTGTCTCCTTTTAGGACTTGTCAGTAAATACTGTTAACTTGTCAGTAAACACTTACCACGTTTATGATTGACTAATGTCAATCAGGGTACCAACAGGTCCTTGAATGGTTTACGTTTCCTCAATACACACATTATTTAACAATAATGTTAATGTCTTGCCCCAGCAAGAGTGCAAGAGTTCTGCACTCTTCACGAAGACACGTTTACTTCCACTGGCTTTCCGTGACCATTGGTGGATTACAAAACTATTACAAAATTTCAAGGGACACAATTTAAAAGTGGATAAATTAACTTAAGGGGAAATTGTGATGTTCACACATTATGCATTTAAGTCATTTGTGCTGATTAATCTCCTTGAACCAGGCTTTGAACGCACACTTAGAGCTGTTGTTTACATCTGTACCTGCTGGTAAAAATAGCATACATACGACCAGCCGTGTCCCCCATCAAATAATACTGGAAATGGTAGCGTAAAGTGCAATTTCCGTCCCTTTATTTCTTTATTCTCATGACGTACAGACATAATTGTCAAAAATCATAGTGACAATGATAGAGGGGCAATTTTGTATCTGCTATAAATATTGCTTATAATGGGACCATTGCTTCCTCTCAGGTTGTTATCAGTTCCATTAAAGCTTAATGGACTCATTCATGATGTGATTATGAAGCAAGCTCTTAAACCTCTTTCTCTGAGTTAAATTGACTTACTTTGACTCATGTTGATAAAGTATGGGCTGAGTTTGTTCTGTTTTGTTGGTTTATCGTTAATTGTATATTGGCCTGATATTCAGTCTCTGGAGAAATGTCAGTGATGGCTGTCAGTGTGAGGTAATACCGTAAGCACTGTGTTGAATGCATTATTGTTCATTACCACAATTAGTTTGTATGATGACTGAATAACTAATTTATCATTGCAACTCATCAAGCGAGTATCATGAACAACAGGATAGGCCTGAGGTAATGAAATCTTCACTGTGGTTCAGAAATCTTCTAGAGTGACCAGATTTACCCAAGAAAATACACTCAGAATATGTGTGTTCCAGTTTTCACTGTTAGACTCACTGACTTGAAATGTAATATCCATAAAAGTGGGAAATTAAATAGCAATTTATTGTGCCCACTTACTGTATAGCACTGTTTATTTGCACACACTGTTTTAGTACTAATTCGCTAAGAAATATTATGTGTTCATCATATAAAGTGATTGTGTCTCTTCAGAGACTTGGTTTAAAATGCTAAATTCATATGTGTCAGTCCTGTGTTCCTGTGTCTTGTGTTTTTCTCCCCATGTGCCTTCCATGACCCAGTTTCTCCCATGTTTGATTATGTTCATTGTTCCCAGGTGTTTCCTATGTATGATGTTTATTGATTTCAGGTGTGTCTCGTTTAGTTCTTGTACTTAAGCCCTGTGTTTCCTGAGTCCTACGTTCAGTTATATGTCAACCTACCCTGCTACGTGTATGTTCCTTTGGTTCATTAAAGATGGTAAATTCTCCTACGTCTCCTTCGCTCCGCGCTCCAACACAGCAGCAGCACCGTGACAATATTAACTACTTTTACAACATCTTTATGAATTT